GAAATATATATATATATATATATATATATATATATATATATATATATATATATATATATATATATATATATATATATATATATATATATATATGTATATATATATATATATATATATATATATATATATATATATATATATATATATATATATATATATATATATATATATATATATATATATATATATATATATATATATATATATATTTTTTTTTTTTTTTTAATTATATTTAAAAAAGGATGACAGATTTTGTGGTGGTAATTCCTAGAAATTTGCAGACAATTTAGCAATAAATAAAATAAAATTAATCATTCATTCATTCATTTTCATCCGATTATCTGGGGCCGGGTCACGGGGCAGCAGTCTGAGGTGAGAACCCCAAATCGCGGAAAACTAGGGGTTTATATATTGTGACATTAAATAAAGCACAGGATACTCATACTTCAGACTCCACATCAAAATTCCTGAAAGCAAAGAAGGTCAAGGTGCTTCAGGATTGGCCAGCCCAGTCACCAGACATGAACATTATTAAGCATGTCTGGGGTAAGATGAATTCAAAGAGTCTGGATGAACTCTGGGAGTCCTGCAAGAACGCTTTCTTCGCCATTCCAGATGACTTTATTAATCAGTGATTTAAGTCATGGCAGAGATGTATGGATGCAGTCCTCCAAGCTCATGATGGAGTCACACACAATATTCATTCATGACTTTATATTCTATACTGGACATTATTTCTGTTCAGTGGTGAGACTTTAGTCTAAGCAAAGTCAGACCTTACTGTCCTAATGAAATCATTCAAAATCAAGGCATGATCATATTTTATTGTGGTAAAATAAGCGTAATTTAGAGGCCTTTGCCTTTCATATAAACCACTTCTGATACCAAATGATCAACTGGAAGTCAAGTTATTATTTGTTGTTTTTGCTGGATAGCAAACAAGACTTTTGTCAGGTAGTGTAGTTCTCCAGTAATCTGCACAGGCTATATCGCTGGTGATGGTCACAAATATAATGATTTGACGATTAAAAAAACAAAACTAATTATTATTAACATCAACAGCTGTGTTGCGATACATAATTGTGAAATCAAACATTCATCCTATCGTCAGCTGAAGGCAGCATTCATACAAGTTTATAATAATTGCATTTCAGAAACGCTCTTTCCTTGGATATGACGATGGATATTAGACCGATTTTTCTCTTTAATGACATTTGCTCTGAGCATTTATTCATGCGTGTGCTTGCGTGCTGTGTTTTTCTCATTGCACAGACGTAAACACGATGAATGCTGAGCTGAAAGCATTATCCAGATGAGCGTTTGTGAAAAAAACAAACAAGCAAGTGGTTTTGCTGTTACTGTAGTGCAGAACGAAAGCACATGAAAACAAATTGCCCTCCTGATTGCATTCATACGCTAATTACTTTCACCTGAAACTGGTAGTGGCGGAAAACACAAATCATTTAGCATTGTTCATATTGGTCTGCGCATTAGCCTCTGTTGTGATGAATGGACACATTATTATATGCGATATGTGATACTGACAAATGCAATTACACTTGAGGGTTTCTGATGCAGATTAGTGTAGGAGAGTGATGAAAATGGTGTTTAAATTGTGTTTTTTCTGCTGTGAGTTTAGTTCGATTAAATAAAAAGTTGGAGGTTGGTCATATTTTCTGAATTTACTGAAAGGCCACAAGACAAGGCTGGATTTTTTTGTTCAAAAATACAGGAACTGTCAAATTTATTTCACAATAAAATGTTATTGCTTTTTAAAGTAGTTATTTCTACTTTAATTTGATTTGATTTATTCCTGTGATGAAAAAGACTAATTGTTTCGGAGAGTCACTTTTGTTGGATTTGTTTGTTCAAAAATACAGTAAAAATACTGTAAAATTTTAAATTATTATTGTTTTTTTAAAGTGATTATTTCTATTTTCATTTGTTTTGAAATGTTATTTATTCTTGTAACATAAAGATAATTTTTTTGTTCAAAAATACAGGAAAATACAGAAAAATTTGAAAACATTATTGCTATTTAAGGTAAATATTTCTATTGTCATTTGTTTTGAAAAGTAATTTATTCCTGTGATGAAAAGATTAATTTATTGAGAGTCCATTTTGCTGGATTTGTATGTGTAAAAATACAGTTAAAATACTTTAAAATACTAAAATAGTCTTGCTGTTTAAAGTAATTATTTCTATTTCAATTTGTTTTGAAAAGTAATTTATTCCTGGCATAAAAGATTAAATACTGTTGAGTCTCTTTTGCTCACCAATAAGGCACAAGACGTTTTTGCCCCAACGTGTTGATATTTTCAGACCAGCGCAGCCTTTTAAAGGCTTACAAAACTTTTGTTTACAAAGACTAGATTTTATGTAAAAATACAGTAAAAAAATACTGTAAATTTGTGAAATTTGATTGCTTTTTAAAGCAATTAATTCTATTTTCGTTTGTTTTGAAAAGTAATTTATTTCTGTTATAAAAATATTTTTGAAAGTCCTGTTTGCTGAATTTTTGTAAAAATACAGTAAAAAATACAGTAAAATACAGTGCCTTTTTGCTGAATTAGTTTGTTCAAAATACAGAAAAAAAATATTGCATTTTTTTATTATTTCTATTTCATTTGTTTTGAAACATAGTTTATTCCTGTGATAAATATATATATATATATATATATATATATATATATATATATATATATATATATATATATATATATATATATATATATATATATATATATATATATATATA